GCCCCTTATTTCTAATACACTAATTGCAGAATTTGAACAATGAACCTTTCTTCTTTCTTCTTTTTTGTGCACAGAACTACTCGGAATAAATAAGTTCGAACGAAAGCCGAAGCCTCCGGAAGTGGAAAACGATAACCTAACCAACGCCTTGCAAACGCCTGCGGCCGACGTGGGAGCGACGCGAGCGCCCTTTCTAGACATAGCGGAAACGTTCGGCGAAATCGGGGTGGACGAGGACCTGCCGGACGGCGCGTTCGCGGCACTTAACACGAGCCGAAACAACTCTGACTACGTGTTCGATCTGCTGCGATTGTTCGCCAACCAGACTGCGTCCACCTCCACGCAACCGACAACGAGTGATCGACTACTGCTTCGAAAAAGGCGAACCACGAACGGCATAACAGGATGGCACCAAAGTTACGCGTCGCACGGACCTCACAAGTCACTTCTTGAGCTCGGTTCAGCGGTTGATGGAAACGCTCGTAGTCTGCAGAAAGGCGAAGTCAGCGCTGGCGATCGCAAGTCCACGAACGCGACAGTTAACCCTGAAGAGTCACCACGTAGTGACGCTGCATCAGCGACTCGGACTTCGGAAGGCGCTGCAGCCGCGGTTCTGAAGACACCGTCCCCCGAGACCGCAGGGAACACCAAGTCAGCAATCAGGGAGTTGATGGACAACCTGCAGCTGGCAAGATCTAATGCGTCCACGTCTCCTCCGACATTCTGGCCCCTCCAGGATAGGCTTCCCTTTTTCCCGAGTACAGTCTACTTCGAGTGGTTTCCGGCGGAAGAGCAAGCTCGGACGGCCGGGACAAGAAGACGATTGTCTCGACGACGTGGTAGGGGTGTCACTCTGAACTTCCACTTGCCTGATGTCCCGACGCGCGACATTGGAAAGATTATCTTTTACAAAGTGTTTAGAGATTTCGGTTACGAGGAAACGACGCGACCGTATTAGAGGTCGCACAATGAATCGACTGGGAACTTGAATTCGCCGCTATACTTAGGATAATATGCTCTACTCGATGGTTCAACTCGCTATTTACGTGTTTGCAAAAACGATTGTTTCGCTGTGTATAAGTATATATTCTGGCACTCTTCTACTTCGATGTGTCAGCCTGTGCTGTTCAGTGGTCGTCAAAACGAGACCTATTCATAATACGAGATTCCGTTATTTACTATCGTAGTGTACCAAGTTGCTGAAGTTGTATTTTGAGGTTCGACAGTGCTTTTTTTTTACGAAAATGCGAAAGTTCGAATGTGGTTCGCGTCTAAAATTGAATGTCCGAATACATTACCTAACACCTTGGTGCTGATAGTTACAACACTCACAAAGCCGGGAAAGGGGGGGGGAGTGCTGAGGGAATGATTTGCGCCCCCTCTGTAATTTTAAATATTGTATGTGTATGTACATGTGAACTTATACAAAAGCACACACGAGCACATTGAGGTGTCAGACCTACCGATCACTCTAAAACAATTCTGGGATCGTGCTTTTCGCAGCAGCTGCCCAGCCGCTTGGCTCTTGTTTAGATCACTCTTAAACAGAGCATGAGTTTAGCGGGTCAACCGAAACTAAAACATGCAAAGACTGGTTACTGCTCGTGTTTTTCTGTCGCCAGCCAGCACAATGCAAAATCAGGCTTAGTTCTATGTAGTTTACTATTATGAGTACTTTCTTCAAGTAGATTTTTTTCAAAGGGGGCGTAGTTTGCAGGAATGTTGGTTAGCTTACAACATGATGTGCTACGATAACGTATGTTTCTTGCCTAATTTACCCACACATGCATGACTTGCTAGTGGGAGGCGCAAAAACACTGAGAAGCAACTTGATGTATACATTAAAAATGCATTGCTGTTAAGGATGTATTACGAGTATTATTTCTAAGACCATTGCGACTTCCGAGCACTCTACGAAACTTTGTTAGCATGGTTTGTATCGTACTGTTTTCTGTTTTGCTTCTTTCTCGTTATCCCCCACCATGGGTGTGTGCCACTGTGGGAGATTCAACCTACTCTACTCTAGAGCCTCAACTGATAGCTCAAATAGGCACCCCTTCATCTCGCAGGAGACCGACATTTTAAGCCAGTTCAACACTCGTGTTCTCTAGAACCTAATGAAAACAATGGAAGCATCCTGGGGCAATATTCCGTGGCAAATTAACACGACTAGATGCACGTTAGCAAACTTGGCAATCTCTTTAAAGTGAGTGACTAATAGCTGCGTGCATGTCATCGGGGCGAAATGCGCTTTTATAACTTGTCTCATTTGCGTACACAATGTGAGCTTGCAGTCTCTGTAAGTTAGTATTAAAGCTATAGCGTTAAAGAGCTCGTGTCGCAGAAAACCCGCCGCCTGCGTCGGCCCCGTTGGTTGTGAACGAAAAATCGTCTGTGCGTCTGTGACCGAAAAATCAAGTTACCGATATAGCCGCGGGAGGCCGCTACTTGTCCACGCGTGTGCGCGCGATCACACTGAAAAAGCCGCGCACTCAAAGAGCAAAATGCCCAAGGTCACGAGGCACGGTAGTTTTTTAGCCCTTCCACCCCTACCTGCTTAGCTTCCAGCGCTTTCGTCGGGACGAGAGAAGAGATAATGCGATTTCCGAATGCGACAAACCTTTGTAACTCCACAAACACTGGACGGATTCTAAAAATATTGGCGGCGTTGAATTCGTGAGGCAATAAACTCTTCTAGTGAATTTATGCCATGGTTACTTGAAAAAGTGTTTAGAGCTCCTTTACCGCATTTTGTTCGACAGGTGTCACGACGAAAACGACCCCATTTGGCGATAATAGCGCGCGCTGGTCCAATCTACTGTGTGAGCGTTTGTGTGTGTGCGTGTTTATGTGCATGCATGTGCATGTAACAAACCATACGAATAAGTATGCACTTAGCGGTTGAAGGGTGCACTGGGGGCCGGATTTCGCTATCGCGTTCAACTCTTGAAGGCGAAGCTCAAGGGCCCCCAAATTTTTTTAACCAGTATTTGCCATTACATAAGCCTGCGCCCTTTAGGGTGTAAAATTAGGACAGCTTTATTTGCGGTCAGTCTCATTTCTATCATGGTCACCTTCCTGGAAACTATTTTTTTAAAGAACGAAGCTCCTTAGGGTGTGGCTTCTTCTCTCGTAGTTGTATGTTGTAGTAGCCACTTCTACTTAGTTTTAAGAATTGCTCGCAAAATGGCGTTGTGCGTATATGTCCTTGGAAATGATATCACTACGGGGCGTTAGTGCTTTTCGTATGGTTTACGATACGATATTAAAAAGGGAAGATGAAAGAAATTTACAGCTCGGTCATGATGATTGGTATGTGGGGTTGAACATCTCAAAACCTCCACATGATTATGGGAGACGTCGTAGTGGAGGGCTCCGGTAATCGGGACCACCTGGGATTCTTTAAAGTGCATCCAATTCTGAGCTCGCAGGCCTATAGCATTTTCGCCTCCATCGAAAATGCAGCCCCCACAACCAGGATTCATTCCCACGACCTGCGAGTCAGCAGCCGAGTGCCTTAGCCACTAGTACACTGCGGTGAGCGAGATTCACAGCATTTCCCCGGAGTGAATGATAAGTGGGGCGAAGCGTCCGCCCATCCATCCGTCCGTCCGATGCGTGCTCGTGTGATAGGAGCGAATGGACAGACAGGCAGACAGACAAACACACAGACACACACACAGGCAGACAGGCAGACATACCGATGAACGGAGGGACGGATGTAAGGACAGACTCTTCACCCTATTCATCATTCACTCCGCGGATATGCTGCGAATTTTTTATGTAGGTACTGAAATGACGTTTACGATGATGCAGGAACTAATATGTTCGTTCACTAATATATCCGCTGCATTTCAGTGCTTAAACTGGTGTTTAAGTGTGTTGTATTTGTAGCAAAATGGCAACCAAGCACTGCTAATTGAACGAACAGTGGGGAAAAGGCAGAAAAGGGGCAACTTGGGGAGGACGCGTTTCCGGGGTGCAACAAAGGCGACCACACTTGGTCCAGGGTAGAGCGTCCTAGACATCGGCACGCCTTTACGATGTACAAGACCACCGGAGGAAGAAAGACTGAAAGCGACCGGGGTCATGTTATCTTCCCTTGTTGCTTAAAACGTTTGCACGTGCGGGGTGCACAAGAAACTCTTTTTGACTGTGTGCATGTTTGTGTGTCTCTGCATGGTTCCTTTTTTACTTTTTCTTTCCTTCTCTACGAGGGAGGTGTACGTATTGTAGAATAAAACGAGTCTGTGATTCGCTCGTAATGCAAGGACGTCTTCATTTTCGGTTGTCGTCCTTTCAAAAAACGTTATTTGCCTTGCTCCTATTCCGCTACAATAAAGTGTGCCAAAACAATGTCATCTTACTTCTTCAAAGCTTCGTTGTTTGAAACGCACCATTCCCTACAGGTATCGATGTCAAATACTATACAAACCGACCAGCTTTTAGTGTCTTCATCGACATGAATGACAAGGATATATTTCAGCGTTTACGCTGGCGTTAAAATAATTCGTTACACGTGACAGGCATGAAAGTGCAATAAAATGTTTGAACAGTGTTGTTGTAATAAGCGAGAATCACGCATTGGCAGCGTTTCCCACTAGCTCTAAAAAGAAGCTTATGAAAAGTTATTAAGCAAAGCATGAGTAAAATACGTTCGCTTATAAATTATAGTAAACATTAGTTTAGTTCAAAATTATCGAAATGCATATGAAATACGGCCACGTTTTTGTAACACCCGTTATTGTTTTTATCAAATTAGATAATTTCAGGCATGAATGAATATGTGCCCTTGCCATAGCGTAATTGTAAAATACAACTGGAATAAATGTTGCAATTGCCAGTGAATGTCGTGGTACTTCGCACCCTGGCCCAGCTATTTTTCTGTTTTTACGTGTACAACTCTGAGCATGCTTTCCGCATCATAAATTTAGTACGCTATATTGGCAACGCCATACCAATAAAAGTTCGTCTCTGTGTGGTTTCACAGTTCCTTTTTTCTAAGTCATATCTTCGTTGAAGCCGGCGTTCGCTATGGTCTTGCGTCGGTTGATATTGCGCTTTGACTGCAGTGATAGGTTTTGCTTCTTTTTCGCCTCTTCTTCCTGTGGACGAATACTGATGTTAATAACCAGCGGGAATTTGACTCATGCTAATCACATCGTGCAAACTGCATTTAATTGTAATACTACGCATGTTACAACTGAATAGCGGCATGCGTCTTCACAAGCCGTGCTGTTTCGCCGGCTAGAAAGCGTGACTGGGTGGTTTCCGGTGGTAGAAACGAACACTGGCGTAAAGGAGGGACATGAACACCAGCATGTCCCTTCTTCACCTCTGTCGTAGTTCGTATCGCGTTGAAGACACTCGCCATCTTTCACTAGGTCCAACTCGTCCAAATAGCTGTTTTGCGATAACAAAAGGGGCAATGACCTAATAAAACGCAAGCCACATAGTAACTTGGGGAATATTGGCATGGCTTTCTGAAACAGTTGCTGTCACAACATTATATAGTGAACAGCGGCCAGCAGTGTAATAAATATTGAATTACATTAACGATGGAAATGATCAAAACAGCGCCTTAGACAAGACAGAGTATAAGGTGCTGGACATTTAGGCGAGAAACACAATTTTGTACATAAGGCAAAGCATCGCTTATTTTATGTGCGGGCTCCACGTTGTAGCGCCCTATGACGCCGTTATTGTCGAAACTTGGCTGACATTTACAGAGTCATGTTTGTTGTCTTTCCTTCATCCTATCGAAAGCGCTGATTTTTTTCCCCTTTCATAATGCACCAACCAGCCGAATCAAGCAGCTTGCAACATTAGCTATAACATACCGAGCACTAGCCAGTACTGTCCAGTGCTAACCAACATTATTTAGTGATGGTTGTACGCTCTTGAACAAGGTAATTGAGTTTGGTCTAAATTATTAACAACATATCCCGAGATAAAAAACGAATAGGGAGTGGCCTCGAGGTTGTTGACATTAAAAACAAATGTGATTACCCGAGACATGTCGTTACATTGTGTGCTGTATACTCTCCAGAGGCTGTGTGCGTACCTTTTGCTTCTTCAGGAGCTCCTCTCTCTGCTTCTCGGCCTCCTTGCGCACTTTCTCGCGTCGCGCCCGCTCCTTCGCGCGTTCTTTCTTCCTCTTTCGCTTCTCCTTCTTCTTCTGCTTCTTTTTCTCCTTGGCCGCCTCCATGCGTTCTTCCTCGCTCGACGCGTCGTCCTCGTCGTAGGCACCACCCATGGTTGTGAAATGGCGCATCATCGCCATGATGGCCATCACTTCCGGGACGCTCGAAGACGGCTGCTGGGGTGGAGGAGGCGGTGGGGGTGGATGTAGGGGCGGAGGAGGAGGCGGATACGAGGGCCCCTGGGGTGCGATCACGATCGGACCCTGTAGAAGGCAGCACACGTAAGACCACTTCACAGAATAGTGCAGTATACTTCACAGCACGTAAGGCGCGTAATAATAATGCATGACAGCTTTGAACAATGTTAGCCAGTGCACTACATCAGTGGCCACAATAGGTAAGAGTTGGCTTTGATCCTACGTCTGTGCCCTTTATATGCGGGCTTTTTCCGCGTAATTTTCTCGTCTTGCGATCGCTTGTCCAACGCTCTGGTGTTTCGTTACAGCACGAAAGGGACACATTTCGGTCTTTGGTGTTTCCCTTGTCATCGCGCTGAAGTTTGAGATG